TGTCTCGCATTTTCCCTGATTGCCTCATCACAAACTAATTAGCGGCATCTGATAAGTTTGAACATTTTTCTCGGTGTCGTTCACGTTTGCGCACACCTCGCAACACGACGGTGCACGTATATGCAACAAAATAACGTCGCGTTTATCCTTAATGCACACGCCTCGCCCGCCAGGGGTTTCCGTAGCGCCATGTTACGTTTCGTTAAGTTGCGTCACGTGGACTGGTCCCCTGATCATAGTCCTTAATTATCGGTGGCCTGAACTATACGACGAGATGAGAGGATCCGAGGTAGCTACTCCTCTCATATTAAAAGCGAAAATAAAAGTATAATAGGTCTCTCGTGCCTCGCATTAAACAAGCAATATAGAGCATAAAAGGAGAAGCTGGAACCAGCTCTGTCCTGCGAACGGACATCGCTACCTTCGCGGAAATTCTAATCGCGTCTTTAAATTCATGATGGGCCGCAAACGACGCGAGAACGGCCCCAAAGAGTACTTCGTTCGGAATCACAGAACACTCGGATTACCGTTCAGCTTCGAGATTTGCATTGCTAAAATTCGATAAGAAGAAAACGGCGGATAGGGAGAGAGAGAGAGGGGCGTAGCATAGAAGATTCCTGCCAGTCCTTCCGCCGTTTTTCGAGGCACATACTATCTGTTACACCCGGGGCACGAATACGAATTAGGACCAAGTCGCAACAGGATCGAGCCCGACCGATTTCGAGTATGCTGGCGCCTTGGGCAACGATAAGTTGCTGTAGTGGGTCTAGCCACTGCTCTGCCCTCTGTAATTATACCGTACACAACCGAGCGCCCGGCTTGCTCTTTCTTTCTGCGTTACTTTCTCCTTCGTTTTCCACCGTTCCTCTTCTTCGCCGATGCTTCTTATTGTTCAACGTGTGTTTCGCCCGACCGTGGTCCCGCCGGGGGCGAAGGTTGCGCTCGGGCAGCCGTCTGCGAGACTCCCTTCCTTTTCATCCTACCCGCTCGCGTTTCGTTTGCTTTGTTCAACTTACCTTCAACAACCAACACTTGGTCCATTGTTCACTTTTTCCACGAGCACTGCACTTTATGTAACGCGAACACGAACGACGGATGTATTCCGCCGACTTTCCTCCATGAAACATTTCGTTAATGCCGCCGACGTGTAATCAGCACGGACACTTAATTGATGATTCCTCGTTAGGTACATCGATACGGATATTGTCGACCGGCCACTGTCACTGCGCTCGATCCCTGGAAGCCGTGTTATTTGCATCTCGAACGCCCGGAGCCGAGGACGCTCCGTTGTGGATATTTGAAAGAGGATAATTGGTTCCAGATCCGAGCTCCGTTCGCGCGATCGCTTCGATACGCATCTCGATACACATCTCGGCCAGTGTTCTGCGGCGTGACCGTAATTTCGTATCACGGTTTAATATTCGTGAAAAAACCGGCTGCGCGTGGTTGCTCGCCGACGGAAGATCTGTGCCGCGACAAGTTCTCCTTTCCCTCCACTTTCCATCCTCGTATTTATCGTGTAAATTATGGTCGTGTCTTCCCGCTTGCGACAGGGATTCTTGTTTACCGGTCAACATTTGCCGACAACCGCGGAGATATCGACGGCGAATGCAAATATCGGCCAGGGTAAACAATACGTCGGACCGTTCTTAGCTTTCGAATCGAATTAGCAGATGTTACGAGGAGATTCGATAGCTCGGTTCGTAGCTGCAGCCTTAATAAGCTCTAATAATCGTGGTTAAACATTGTAACGTCGGGCACGGGTCGGGTTTCGCTGCGCGTGTACAATGTTTACGCGCGTACTTGACGCATGGACTCATTTATATGAATACAGGATGCACGGATACCTCTCATCCGCGCGTGCATATAAGCCCGACCAATTGCAGTGAACCTGTACACCTCTATTTTCCGGCTACGCACGCTCGCTGACTGCGAGATTTATGATTTGTTACGTAACGACATCTCTCGGTAGATTTAGTTGCACGTACGCGGTGTGTAATCATTTCACAGACTAGCGAGCACACATTACCCGAAAACGTCCGATACCAGATAATGTACACTCTCTGCTGGAGATAGTGATATAGTGTTCGCTAGCACGAATCTACGGATGCGTTCAATAATTAAAGATGTTGAAATGCGCAGTGGCTTCGCAGGATCCGAACTTATTCGCGTTGCGTTTCGGCGCTATGAGTGCGCTTTCATGGAACATCTCGTGCGTAACGCATCACCGCAATTAGCTAATGACGTGTTGCCGTACTTCTCTATTTTATATTCGTGTGTATTTCACGTGAAAACCTGAAATGTTCGCTTCCGGAGGACTCGCGATTTGTACAACGCGATCCAAGTAGCATCGTCGGGTCAACGACGGCCACTTTAAGCGGAAGAAGGAAAGGTTGTGACCACCAACCCCATATAATATGCAAACAGTACGTCCATCACGGGGAACAACACACGAGAAAGCTTCGATCGCCGAAGGCTTGCGTGTCAGACAGCCGGCCGATCAGACCTGGAGTGTTAGGAGCAGGCGTGATACCGCTTTTTACGGGTTAACCGACGACGATACCACGGCATGTTAACGGTCATGCGATACAGTAGGTCACGCATGCAAAAAAACAATGCGCGCGTGTATGCGTGAATTCGATATTTTTGCATTCGTATGCGCCTACATGGATCTGCATATATGCAACGTTACACAACGAAACGGAGTTTCGGAGTTTAACATTGTATCCACTCTTCGGCTGTTCGAAATTCGCTCGCGTCTCGAGCACTTTGCAAGCGCACGGCTATTCGACGGAAAGTTCTTCTTGATTGCGGTGAACCATCGAATCAGGAGGGTGCGAAGGTAATCCACTTTGCCCGTCACACCTCGCGCTCCATGTTAGACATTGATTTCGCATTATCCTTAGCAGCAAACCCGACCGATTGGCTCGACTTCTCTCGATTGTCCGATGTTCGAGCACGAGAGACCCCTTCTCCGTAGACGTGTTCGTGTAGGCACGCGTGTCCACAAAACCGACGCGCCGGTGTTTGTATTTGTACGAAGGGAGCCAAGCTTTAACGCCGGTGGGGTGTAGCACGCGAAGTCGAGGGCGGCGGCAACCGCAATATTAGATTAATGGCGGATGTACTTCAGTTTCAGGTGCGATATCGTCTTTCAACCTAAACTTCGCCGGGAATTCGACTTTTCTTGCGGCGACTCGCACGCGCGATACATCTTCTCACATCCTTTAAACCATCGCCGTTAATACGCGAGCGGTGTGATTATCTAAATCGAATTACGCGGTATTACTTTATCGTAATTCGTTTCGAAATTCAATTCAGGCAGATAGAACGTTTAAGATGGCCCCCTTATCTCGGATCTAAGATCCCGATGATACGCGATGCAAATGGTTGACTACATTTTAAGGGACCCACTGTACCACGCTGCGACGTATCGTCGCGTACCATAAAGAGGCATAAATCAGCGTGCAAAAAGTAGAAAGTTATAGCCACCGAGACGTCCAGGCAACGTCTTTGCTTGAACAAGCGGCAGCACCGGGATGGCCTCGAGGGCTGAACGAGGTAGAGGAGCAGAATGGGAGATCCCGGCCCTTGATCGTGATAAGATGCAGCGGCGTCGTCAGTTGACAAAGGGTCGTAGGAACGCCTCCTCAGATCCGACGTGCAACCGCTTGCGGGGGCGTACATATTAAAATTGGACCCCCACCTCTGACCCTCTATCAACCATTCGCCGATCTTGTTTATTACTGGCACGTACAATCACGTTACCAGAAAATATGAGCCCTTTTACTAAAATGTTCGTCTGTTTACATTCATGGCTTGCGTACTTGTGTACCAACACTATGTTACACAGCAAAGGGTGCTATACTGATATGCTGTTGGTAACATTGTGTTGGAACTTGCTAAGAACCATTTGGGGTCAAGAGTTTCAGGATTTTTTGGAACCTCTTCTGTTCCAATTGTTTCTGTATCTTATTACAGGGTCATGTATCTATAATATTTTGGTATTGCGATATTTCTTGCAATATTTTATATTCTTGATAGTAATATTCTTCTTATTTATGCATTATTCTTCAAATACATTGAATAGTTTATTCGTTGTAACCTCTTCTTGTTCTTCTGTTCCATATTCTTGCGTTGTAACAGTCATTTACACTTAAATACTCAGTAAACATCTTGAATAGTTACTTCATTCATAATTATACACATTCATGCACTAATATTGTATTGAACACACATACTACATAATTAGGAAAGTAAAGGAAATTCACATCCTGACTAAATTTCCAGCTTTCCTTTGTATAAAATATATCATATATTACACCCTACCATTAGTAGATTAACTTCTGTTGTATATTCATCATCAAATATAATCATTTCCTTAATATTAAAATATTCTTACATGCTAAAATATAATTATACCCTTCTATTGTCTGTTCAGAAGACTTTGTCAACATAAAAAATGAAAATATTTGTTTCCAATCTTCAATTGGGAATCATAACCAAAATACCTTAATGTATTTTGCTCCTATATACTGCTTAATATCTTATTTTGATAATAAAGGATGAAAAACATAGTCGGAATTCATGGACAAACATATACAATATAAAATACAATAATTACTCATCGTTTCAACGTGTCTTTTCGCAGCATATAATGATGATTACAAATAAATAGCTTACATGCTAGTAGTGCCATTTTGTGCACCAAACGTTCTAACGGTCGTTACATTCTTTCAAAGTTTACTCACGTGAATAGGCGATGAAAAGGGCAACCTGCGGAATCATATTTGTGCAACCTGTGAAACTGCATGTTCATGCGTCGTTGGGGCCAAATAAAAACAGTTAAACGTCCGAATTACTTGCATATTCTTTCTTCTATTGCACGAGCAAAACTTCCTCCGTCCAACGCACCGCCTTCATTATGCAGTTCTCGATTGTGCCGACTCGATATGAATCGAAATCGCAACTGGTGCTGCCCTCTGCAGGCTGCAGTTTCAAGCATTCGATTAGTGTGGGATCTCGAGGGCGCATCGTTTATTTACCGCGATTGCTCGCGGTTTGGTGATTTCAAATTCAATTTAAAATACGAATTTTCAAGTGCATCGTTTGAAAACACAGTTGAAATGTTCCCGCAGAGTTCTCAGAAAAGGTACTGGATGTTCTCTGATGAAAATGATTTGACAGTACTGAGGGAGAAAACAAACGCTGAGTTTATTGAAAGACATGGGGTGAATATGACGGTAAGTTGGACGGTTTTTGCGGTGAGTTTCAATTTTCATTTTGTACATTTAATTCTGAAAATGTTCATTGTTTTCTGTTATCTTTTTGTTATGGTAACATCACTATTCGTCTCAGCGCTATATGATTTTAGAGG